TATTCGCTTTACAGATATTTTAAAGGGCGAAGGAATTAAACCACGGAGCCGTTAAGAACTGATCAACAAGCTGCTGATTGTTCAAAACTGGTAAAAAAAATGGTCCCTGATAAATTATTAACAGGGTAATGAAAATACCAACCCCGATAACTCGAACGTTCCCCTCGTGGGTAGTTCGAGCTAGCGGGGTTCCACTGTACCCCTGAATTCCAATATAAAAATGTTCAAACCATTTGTGTAGGTGCTCCGTGAATAGAAGATCTGATAAACGTTACGGAAGATGTCCTGTTTTTACCACTTATCTAATATTATAATAAGGATGGCTACGTGATCCAATGTTCAGAACTTTCCGTCTGTTGACTTAAACAATTAGACATATCAGAAGTCAGCCGTCAATCGACCTAAAATTTAGCCATCAACAGTTAAAACGGATTGATGATTATTTTTGCAGCTGAATATTAACCGTCAAACGGTTTACTGAACGTTATTTCAGATCTCTCTACTCTAGCCACTTGCCACGAGCAGTTTCAGATCTAGAAGAATATTTGGACTTGTAAATTAGTCGGATCACACCAAAATTCGTTTTTCGCTGATACACCCCAAGGAAGGTGTTGATTAAAACTTACAAGATTTCTCGAATTGAGATACCCTTTAACATGTTATCCGCTGTATTCTTTGTTTGAATGCAGACCTCTGTGATCTCTATTTTGTCTGAGATCACCGGAGTGCTTGCTCTCCAGTATGGCGTTGCTATGCGGTATCTAAGCACGTGATCTCTAACTGCAAAAGGCCCATATCAGTTGAAACTGATAGGAGAAATATCTGGCATATTGTAAAATATAGACTGGATTGGATTTGTAAAACATGGACTGGATTTGTAAAATATGGACTGGATTTGTAAAACATGGACTGGATTTGTAAAACATGGACTGGATTTGTAAATTATGGATTTGTAAAACATGGATTTGTAAAACATGGATTTGTAAAACAGGAATTTGTAAAACATGGATTTGTAAAACATGGATTTATGGAAACACGATAGCATTGTTCGACTGTTTATTTCTCTGTCTGTCCCTCTCGGGTGAATCTTAATTGTTTTACTTTGTATTATTTTTTCATTTTATATTACCTAATAATTTCTCTAAAAAATTGTTGGATATTGAGTAATAATATTAGCATTTGGAAATTTTTAAGAATAATCAAGAAATACGAGAAGCACTCTCTTACAGCGAGTAACCATTCTCAGCATTTTCGGCATTCTCTCGTGTTCAAAAACAAAATTCCGCGTGCTTATATTTAACTCTACAATGCATTCGGCGCGTTTTTATTTTTAAAATTATCAACATCTTAATATACAGGAGCAGGTCAAGACCGATTTCCAACGTTTTACGGGAATAGGTAATTTTACTAGGGCAAACATGGAACAAACAAAAGTGTACGTTACATACAAACAACCAGGCTGCCAAAAGACCGAAATTTTAAAAATGCATTGTAGACCTCTGTCGAAAATAAATTTGCATCTTTCAAATTTGCGCGGGAGAAGATAGGTTATTGTGCGAGGAAGGAGATGGCGGCTTCTTTTAAACGGCGACGTCAGGATTTGAGTTTCCGGAGTTCTCGTGGAGCTCTGTAAAAATTAAAGAAGAGCTTGGAAGCGGGACATTCGGGGCCGTCTATTTGGCTGACTTTTCATTTGTTTATTCTCCTGTGTTAAAGATGAATAAAACACTAGAGTCTATCTAAGCGCCATGTACTTGAAATGTTTTCCAGATTTGTCATAGTAACCACTATGTAGTAACTGTTCATATCTAGACCGAGCTTTTTCAGTTTACTCAAATACGTGAAAAAGTCAATACTCTGCATCCAGCAAACACGTGAAAAAGAGTGAAGCAGGTCGGGAGAAAAAAATTAAACACGGATGATTTTCAGTGTTTGAATTGGTAGCTAAAAATCCATGTTTTACAAATCCGTGTTTTAAAAATCCATGTTTTACAAATCCATGTTTTACAAATCCATGTTTTACAAATCCATGTTTTACAAATCCATGTTTTACGAATCCATATTTTACAAAATCCATGTTTTACAAATCCATGTTTTACAAATCCATGTTTTACAATGTCTTTACATTTCACCTTTACATGTAGGTGAAACCGGCCGTTGCTTTGAAACCCGCAAGAAAGAACACATCCCTAATCAGTAGAGCATTCTATTTAAACAATAGCCACCCTTTCCATATTTTTACTTTGTTCTTTGTTCTTTGTTCATCCCTGGAAGGGGTGGGCGCTTATTCGAGGTTGGGCGCTTAAAAGTACTTTTTTGGGGTGGGTGGTGGAGGTGGGCGCTTATTCGAGGCTGGGCGATTAAGGCCACCTGCATAGCTGGCCGATTTTTCGATATTCCCTTTTTTGACTCAGCTTATATACAACATTTACGGAGCACACTTAATGTGCCCAGTAAACTCTTTCCCAAAGCAACAAAAACAACAAATCAAAGGAAAGTCGTGAATACATAACGTTTGAATGGGTTTTGAAGATAATCAAATTCCTTTTTATGACAACATATACTTTTACATGTAAACATAGGCAGCCAATGGGTAACTCTCGAAATTACTTGGAATTACTTTAAATTGCTGGGGTGATGTTGGGTGAATAGTCACATTTTGGCTTTCGATCAGTATAAAGTACAGACTGCAGACCGGTTACAAAATTCAGACTACAGACTGCAGACTGGGTACAAAATGCAGACTGCTAATTTTAAAAACTGTCTTTTCGTCGAGACGTGTAACTTGTCATCTTACAACCTACCAAGTGTCACGCAATCGTTTTTCCGCGATCATCTTTCACGATCATCTGGACTATTGTGGAAAATTCCTTGCCCGTTTCCTCGCATATATATACTTTTTTACCAAAGCGGCCATTGTATGGCGGTTTCTGACAAAGCGTCCACAATCGTTCTCACATAGAATTTCAAGCCTTCCTGTAGTCTTCTCATTTCGCGCGCGAGATGTCAGTTGTTAGATGTTTTATCTAACACCCTACGTACAGTTAACAATTTCTTTATTTTGCTCTTCTTACGTACAACTTATTGTCTCGGGAACTAGCTCAAATCTGAGTGCGAATGCTGGTCACCAACCTATAAAGGTGACGCTTACTAAGCTGTCAATCCTCATAAAAAACAGCACCTGCATTTTAAGTACGTACCTTCGAGATGTTGACTCTCGTCCAGAAATGACTTTCTACCCTAACTTTCTTATGTTTCCAGCTAAACTCGGGTAAAACGAAAACGTGGTTGGCAATATAGAAATTATGATAAATTTATTGACAGAATAAGAATCATACCTTAAGAAAAAATAGCCTGAGAAGTGTTGCATAGCAACGCAAAACTCGGAGAAGAAAGGGCGTACACGCGTACCGCTCCCAGAAAAGCTAAAGTTCATCACGGTGGTTAAACTGGCGAACACCGATGCACAACACCACGTGTCTGCGGCATCGGGAACGCGACAGCATGAGTTTCGCGTCTTCACTCATAGTTACACCTCTAGTCTTTCAAAGAGCTTTGACTCGGTTGCACCTGTGCTGACCGCGACGCGTAGTAATCAAAACTCCCTCGAAGAAAAGTCGAGTTATATTTCAACGTCGCAGCATTACTTCGGAAATTCGATAGAGGCGTTCCTGTATAATTACATCTGAGTGGGTGACAATTATGCATATTCTGACCCCTGATGATAGTCGCTCCACGCTTCGTGTATCAACGACTAAAAAAACCAAAAACAGTGAATAATAAAACACCAACAAGGCCTTTAACGTTATCAGTTTTCATTCCACAGTGAATTGGTTGCAAACAGGGCCAAAATATGCGCTTTAATGCCTAAACATGCGTTATTGTTACGACGGTCGCTTCAGAGAGCAGAGTCAGTAAATCAGGGAGTTGATTTTTGGCCCAAATTAGGTCAAGAAAAATATTTTAAAGGATAGTCAGAGAGGAAATCTATTTCATCCCTAAAGTTCGGTTATAGCACTGATTTTTCTTTTCGCAGTGTGACCCGGCGGTAGAGGGAGAATAGGATGCAATTTCTTTTCATCAATCAACTGGTCAGTTTTATACTGATATTTTCCATGGTCTATCGTATCTCGAGCGATAGCTGTCAAACTGCCGACTGGGAGAGAAGCCTGGATTTCACCCCGGGATGGTCGGTGTGCCCAAGAAACAACACCTACCTGAAGGGATTCTGGAGGAGTGAAAAAAAGACTGGAGATGAAAGAGTTGGACGCCTAGAACGAGGAAGTTGCTGCGATGCTGTGGAGCCTCGTTACACCGGTCAACCTTCAAAATGTGTGAATAAAGACTGGTCACGCACGTTGAATGGGTAAGCCAAACGGTTTTTAAATGTCACGCCTTTTCATATCACACCCCTGACAACTTTGATCAAAGCCATTAACTACTTTTGTACCTTATGCTAAGAATTCGAGGTCAGTCTGTGGAAAATTGAGCAACCTGCCTTGGTATTTTGCTTGTGCAATTTTCTACCGACTCCATTCATTAGTCTTCATCGGTCTTCATTCCCAAAAAGATTTAGTCTTTTCTCTGGAAAATTAAATTTATGCCCTTCAAAAGATTTTACAGATGGCGGCGTAAAAAATTCGACGCGGACGTTATGTGTCTAGTTTAACGCCAAAGGGATTATATGCTGAAAACAACCAATTGTTCACCTGGAACAAACTTCTGATTCTTCGACAACTCGGGAGACAAAATATCGCAACACCAATTTGTGTTTCACATTCCTTAACATAAAAAAGGAGAACCCAGTCAAGCCAAAAACTTGTCAAAAACGCCAATTTCTAATAGCCATTTAAGGAAGGATTTTTCGGACCCTTGATTGGTAAAGTCAAGTGGAAATCAACAATTAACTACGCACAAAGCTGATAAAGCCAAAAAAGGTAAAAACCCAAACATTTCAGGCTTAATTTACTCTGGTTTTTTTTTTTATTATTATTATTTTTTTTATTTTTGCAGAAACTATACCTGGGCTTTATGTCCACCAGGCTTTTACATGAATGGCATCAGAACCGGACTTCATAATCATCATAAGGCCTTTTTGAACCACATCGATGAGGCACAATGTTGCCATCCAAAGGATCATCCCAGCAGTTATGAAGATTGTTACGATGAAGATGTTGCTAAAAAATTCAACCGCAAAGGTTGGAGCAAATGCCAGGGGAAAGGTTATTACATGACCGGTTTCTACAAAAGTAGCTGCGATGAACTCAACTGTATTGACAAGTTCAGATGCTGCAAGATGAAAAACGGTAATATTGTTGTCCACCTCTTTCCATATACGATAAAGAAAAAATGAATTTGGCAGAAATGTCGCGAAGCTGATATGCGTCAGAGGTTGGATCTGATTTTAAGTGACGTGTATCACTTGCTTCCTCATTTCTTCAGGGTTTTTCCTTCCCCCAATAAATCTGAGAAGGAAAGTTCCGATAAAAATTGTTAAATTTTGACCGAAAAGAAATGATCGGAGACTAACTTTGAAATACTGCTACGTTTAATCACCACGGATACCAAATTATAACAATAAAGTTATGCATGATTTTATATTCACGTATTACCTCATGTTAATCAACAGGGCAACCAAACGGTATTTCAGATCTGCAGCAAGAGGTACATGTAGAAATCTTTGGGTGTTTTCTTAGCCAAAGACCAAGTTCGATTTTTTTAACGTGAGCCGAAGAACAGGGATGATTACATCTGTCAAAGCTCCCTTTTAAACGTTTCTGTTCTATGAGGCTGTTTTGTTCTTTTTTGATAACTTCCCACAGGAAAGCTCTATTAAATGCATGTTGGAAATTTGTTTATAATATAAAAATTCGCTGCAGGTGCTCATCCAATAACAGATTCCAGGCAACCGTCGAATGGATACTTTCTAGAATCTTACATTACAATTTAGGTACAGGTTTCGACCAAGACACTCAGAGAAAAGCCTTTATTATCATTGGTCCGCTGGGAACGACCCCAGCCAGGATGGTGTTCAAAATGCCGCCATCAGAGATTTTCTCTAAAACTTAGAATAGGACCGTTTGCATCTGTTAACAATGTGGTATTTTCCCAAAAAATAGTAGAAAGTATGTTTGCCTTCGTGTTACCTTTTATGACGTCGCATTTCGTCACCAGACCATAACTCGAGGCGCTAATACAATGTCTTCGTGAGCAAAATTAAATTTTTAAGTGGTCTTGTTTGTTTTTTTTCTCTTATTACCCGTGATTTGTCGACCAGGTTGATGCCATCATCACCAGTGGTTCCAAATCCACCAAAATAAGCACGGTCATCACCTCATTTTTCAATTTGACGAGGCCTGAGAACGAAATTAAACTCAACCTGAGCGAATTGTCTTCTTCCGTGAATGTGCTTGCACAACTTGTGAGGTATAACTTAATGAAAAACAACAGCGCGATTGGCACAACATCAGACCAACAAAACATCGTGAAAGTGGCAAGTAATTTATTGGATGAGGAAAATACAAACACGTGGTTGCTGTTACAGGAGGTAATGTTGTTGATCCTGAAAAGTTTTTCTGTTTTTGTTCTAGTTCCCTATCACCAGCTGTAATTTCCTCTTGATTAAAAAGAAAAAACACAGTAAAACTAGTCTTTCAGCCAATCAGTTTATTTTTCTAAAAAGAGACAAGTTCCGCATGTAATATGATTATATGTTAGATAAGTTTGTGGTTTTCAAAATTTTATATTTTAGTATTGCAATTTTTTTTTTCTAGGTAAGGTGATAAACCTAAGGCTGAGTAGTCTAGAGCATGGTTTAGAAAATTAAGGTTCTCGTGAAATGTTTCTCTTGTTTGTGTTTAAATTCTGTTTTCTCAGTCATTTTTTAGTTACGCTACGATGGAACCTTGCCAAACGTAGCACTAATACAGCTTCAAACAAGGGACATTTAGACCAAAATTAATATTTATTTAAATCCTGGTTGAGTACTAAACAATTTTCAAACAACCAGCCTGAGCCCTTTGTAAGTTGCCATACATTACAAGAGATCCGAAATGATTTCAAACCCCATTTTTGCTGAGAACAACTGAGTGTTTTGTTTTAACATGGATAAACTGTATAAATAGATTTAAGTTTTGCAAGGCTGTTCTTCGAACCCTTAATAGGTCCCTTCCCCAAATGTTTACGTTCACTGCAGCAAATTTTTGATCAAAAGCTTGACTTAATTCATATCCAGAAAAGGGGAAACATTACAGATATACTTCTGCAAACTATGGACGACTTCGGTTCTCAAGTGAACAGCAACCTTGGTAATTCAACCGATAAATTGGAGTTATTATCTGAAAACATCGCTCTTAGAGTTGATCGGTTGAACCCAAAACGTAAGGTAAGTTAAAGGTCGATGTTAAAAATATTCAAACTGCTTTGATCTATAAAGTTAGTTACTTCGGGGACGTTTCTCTCACAAATCAGTTTTACAAATACATTCCATTTTACAAATACATTCCATTTATTTATTTCTCTTTCTAATCAGTTTTACAAATACATTCCATTTATTTCCAAACCTTTTGATCTGAGTGTTATATATTGTATATTTTATTCGCAGTTGAAGGTTGACTTCGCTCAATATGGCGCAAAAATCTTTGTTCCTGATTTACCGCTCTCAGACACAATGGAAACTCGCATGTCGACCATTGTTTACAGAACACTACAGAATATTCTTAGACTTCCAACAAAAGAATCCAGTAATAATCAGTGAAGCGGAGGAAGGCTTCAGAGGAGCGGCTCAAGTATTATTTCTGTCACTTTTCATGATCGTCAACCTGGTTCCCTAAGTACACCGATCAAGTTGGCTTTTAATCACAGCAACAGAGTATGGATTGTTTTGTTTTGTGATACGAGTTACAACAGGAGAACTACACTTGTCAGTTTTATGTGTTTTAAAAAAGAATGCTACTGGAAAGTGTACGGGTTTTAAATCGTAGTTCATAATAAGATGTCATGCAAGAGTTATCGTTGATAAATCGTTTTTATTCATAATTACCCAACTAATTGATAATGAGGACAGATATAGTTGTCGGCAAGTCATCATTTCACTTCATTAAGGTTCCAAGGAAAACTTTATGAGACTGGTTGCCGAAATTTTGAGGTTTCCCAGAACAGCGTCTCTTAAGCACTAAATCCTTACGCGAGAGTGACCTGCTCCCTGCCCGAGGAAACGGGTACTGGCTACCTTAAAAAACCCCGTGAATAGGGGGTAGTATTTCAAAGGGGAAAGGTATCAGCTTAGTGTTGATTTTTGAGAGCTTACCACTACTCTCATGCTTTATTTTGTTTTTGTAATGTATCCTGTAGTCTAAGGTTTAAAAGTACCACTTTGATTGTAGGGTCCTCATTTGATTGGACAGTGCGTTTTCTGGGAGATCGGCCAATCACAGAGGACGTGGCTGACGCGTGGGTGTGTGCGCGTTGATCGTGAGTCAAACTCGCGTGTAACCACGTGCGAGTGTGATCATTTGACCATCTTTGCAGTCTTAGTGAACAACAAGCCAGTGAGTATTAAGTACTCTTGAAGTCTCTTCAGTCCGACATTTTCTTGAAATAGATTGGGATCATTGTCCCTATTTTTGTCCCTAGAATCGCAAACAAATCACTTAAATCCTCTTGGTTTACTATTTGTTCTTTTTTCTATACTTTTATCTTTTTTTTTTCTATTCGTAATTCATAAAAATTCCCGCTCAGTTTTTTTTCTGGTATTCATTTCAGGTAATAAAAAGTCATCAACCATACTTCAAACATATTTCTACTGCAGGCTGCGCATGTTCACTATTCTTTCTGGTGCTCACTTGTGTGATAATCTTGACTGGTTGGAAAAAGTTGAGAAGTTTTCGGGTAACAATGTCACTGCAATTGTTTACTGCCATTTCTGTATCTTGTCTTTTGATTATTCTGGCTGGAGAAGCAGAAAGACCTAAGGTAAATATGAAATGTCTCTGTTTTTTTTGTTTTGTTTTTCTTTTTTTAACTGTGTCTATGTTGCTATACTCCTGTTCAGCAATAGATCCGGAATGAGATAAAAATGAGGTAAGAACAAAAAAAGTGACACAAGGGGCGCACCCCAGTGTCACCGATGTTTATAACACAATTAAGTTTTTCTATGATCCCATACTGGAGTAGGTCCTTATCGATTGTGCTAGCATAAGTTTTGGCATAGTTTGGAAAAACGAGCATAATTTTTGCACTTTTTCTAAAAGTAGCACTGCCGGCATGATCGGTACATTTTTAGTTTTTTGAAGAGAACATTACTAGAGTCATGACCTGCTTGGTCTCTAAGATTGATTGTTTTCAAGTTTTGTCCGTGGCTCAGACTATTTTCATTTGTCTGGGGGAGGGAATGAAGGTAACCGCAATACTGCTTCGTTGGTCGTCTAGAGGACTGGGCATACTGGAAGTAAAGATTGCGTCAGTCCTAGTTCCCGCTAATATCGTACATTTTGTGTAGCTCAAGACAAAGAAAATATGATGCTTTACTAACAATAAATATATAATTTTGATTTTTGGACTAGTTTGAGCATAATTTGGAAAGAAATCGGGCACTGCTAGTAGCATAGTATGCTACTTTTACTAGGACAGTTGATAGGGGCCTATACTGAACAGACGCATGGCAACTTGGAATCTATAGGCTACGCACGTTCACAGGTCTTTCTGGTGCTCACTTGTATGATAATCTTGACCTGTTAGAAAATATTGAGAAGTTTTAGAGTAATATAGTCACCGCACTTGTTTGCTGCCATTTCCGGCATTTGTTCCATATATTAAAGAAAAAGAATAAGTTAACTGTGATGTCATCTGCGCGTCTGTCTTCCAACAGATCATTATAAGACCCGATCAAAATTCAGCATGTCTAATTCTACATATCATATAATATATTTATTTACTCATGGCTTTATTTCACCTCCACAGGAGTTCTGCACGACAACTGCAATGTTACTCCATTATTTCCTGCTCTCTGTGTTTTTCTGGATGTTGTGTCATGGTGTTATCTTGTACTTCCTAATATTAAAGGCCGAACGGCAAGAAATTCTGACATCGAAAAAGAAATGGTTTTACGCTCTAGGATGGGGTAAGAGGAAAACTCCTTGAACAAGTGCATTTTCATCAACACATGCTCTGGACGAATCATACGCCAGTGTTTAAGCACGACAATAAACTGCCTCTTTAAAACGGTTCGAGGATTATATTGGCAGTTATTTTTATTCAATGGTTAATTCATATCTGACCGTTCCAGGTGCTCCGATTCCTATAGTGGCCATTTCTCTGGCAGTAAGTGGAACCAAGTCTTATGCAGCGAACAACTGTTGGCTTACAGGAGAACGTTGGCTCATTTATTGGGCGTTTGTTGCTCCAGTTGCCGTGATCTTAGTTGTAAGTATACTCTTTTGCTTATGATGCTCCTTTTATGGCGCAAAGATATTCTTTTTATGCAGACACCGTATAATATGAGGTTTGTACTGTGAGTTTCGCGGAGAGGATGATTCTCGTGAGCAAATATCTGATCATACTTTCTGGCTTATTGGAACTTATTTTCTGTCCATGTCATCATGGTTAAGAAGCGTAATCGGAGATGACGAAATTTTAGGAATAAAACGAACGGTTAACTACACCCGTAGCTGGGCAAAATACTCGTAAGGAGAGACACGAAGCAGTGTTTCTATTTTTTTCTATCTTTTCTTCTTTTCTCAATCCTCTTGTGTATTTTCCCGTCCAGAGCAACTCAGTTCTGTTAATGTTTTTACTGCGTCGGATAATGACAGCCACAAAGGCCAAAAACAACAGGACACCTGCCAAGCACGTGAAGGATTGGTTGAGACGCTTTGCAATGTTGCTGCCAATTCTGGGTGTTACGTGGTCTTTTGGCTTCCTCACGTTTATTACATCTACGGTTGTGTTTCATTATATTTTCACCATCCTCAATGCATTCCAAGGAGTTTTCATATTTGTGAGCTTCTGCATTTTAGACGATTCGGTGAGTCCCTCTTTTTTATCATAAGTTTTAGAAGACCATAAATTGCTCCCGGATGATGATTATCCTCGTGCATCCACAATAATATACACTTTTAGTGAAATCACATGGAAGATCCAACAAAATAACTCAGAGTAATCAAAAGCGAACGGCTTGGAAATCAGAAGAAAGACAAATAGGAAAAACGTGGTGGGATATAGTTTTACCTTGGCGAAGTTTTATAAACAAGTCTCAGAACCAAGTAAAACAAATGAATTTCCAAGTACTTCTGACATGGTTTGACAACAATTGTATTGATATTCAGTTCTATGAGATCTAGTCAGCCTTTGAGCGGGCTAATACTAATTCACTACTAGTAGTTTCAAAGTAAAAAAGACGCGCTGTGTAATAAGAAAATGCCACAGCAATTGAGCTTCTGTTCTTCAGAAATCGGTGGCCACCTCAGTTTACCCAGCAAGCAGTTTTTTTCTCCAACCGGCGGGCTAATCTCAATTTACTTATTACGGACCAAAACGCACGACATTTTACGATCGGCAAGATGGTTTGAAGTGACGCACTTCCTTTAAAACTTTCACCAGGTTAAAGAATACATAATGATTACTTTGTATAAGAAGAAATCCCAAAGAAAGGCAAAGCTGCAACAGATCATTAGACTAGAAGAAACATACACCGTTGTTCAAGAATGAATAAAGGTAAGAACTGAGCTCGAGTGAATAAAATTGAATGACAAAACGGTACATCATCCAAAAATTTCTCTTATGTCCTCAATTCTGATTGATGTTGCAGGTTTACATCCGATTAACAGACTCATGAAACATTTCACTTGGAGTAGCTTACACATGTATTACCGCTGTACATACTCCACCGTGTATTCTTTCCATTTTAATGGTCCTGCTTATGCATTATTTTGTTTTTTTTTATGTTTGTTTGTGAGCGTAAGCATGGATAAAATGTATCATTTCCTAACACACCAAGCTACATCTTAAGCCAACTGAGTTCTAAACATCGTGTTCAATTTTATGGCAATTGTGTAAAAAGGTTACTCTCTGTGTTAATTAGCGCGGCGGGAAGCGATAAAGTAACGGCAACAAGGTGATCGAAGTACATTGGCTTTCATAGCACTTTCCAGAGGCAAGAGACTAAAAAAAGGTGTACAGCAAATCAAGGGACACATCTCTCATGAACAAGGAAAATCAGGGCATAATTTTTACAAAATACAAATGAAATACGTACGAACAAAGACTGCGATTTGTTTTTTGAACATATATATTTAGGAAAGCGTTTAGTTCTAGTTTATAATACTTAATGTAAGGTAAAGCGCTCTTGAATATGTGCATTGTTTTAGTGCTATATAAATGTTTCATTATTAGTATTATTATTAATTTAATAATAGAGGAATTTTAATGAAACAAACAGTAAAGAACAAGAAAAAGAAGGAGAAGAACGCAATCTCATTGCATGCTGGTTAATGCTGATACAGAAATAAAATCCTAAATCATTTCACAATGACAATGAAAATCTTAGTCCTTTGTGTACTAAAAAGTCAAAAACAAGTTCCTTTTCGTGAGAGCACCGTTACAAGGTTTGTTACGAGTGTTGAACCACACTTACAAAAGACTCAAGACCAAGAAAAACAAACTCAATGAAGTTGGTAATCGATACATATGTTTTACGAGTTTATAATTATCGCACATCAGTGAGAGCAGCGTACAATCTTAATCCGATACTATTGCTGTAATGTGATTGGGTAATACAGGTTGTGGCAAACTTTTGATTTCTTGATTTTCTTTAACAATTTTTTATGCTTCTAGCACCAATTTATATACGCGTATCCTTTTGGTTTTTTTTCACTTCAGTATCTATTTATGCACCGTTATTTTCTATTTAAATTATGACCCCTTATCTATTTCGTGTTTCACACCCTTATACTAGAAGTTTTTTTGTTAATATTAGTTTTAGTTCTGTTAGCGCCTCTTTCGTGCCAGTTTTTCGTGTTTCCCATTTTTTGCCTCAGCATTCGGTCAGATCTTTTTGTCTTGTCGTATCTTCGTATTTATTTCATCGTCTTATTTCGGTACTATATTTCGTAAAGGTCGTTTACCGCTTTTCTCAATTTACGTCTTTACACATTAAATGGAATAATAGATCATCTGCTGAGTCAGAGAATTTTAGTTGAGGCGGACCCCTGCCTCTTTAATACGTCCGGAAGGTGTTCGAGTACATTCGTGCATGTTTGTATAATTCAGCAAAACTGCTATGCTCCCCTTCTACTGTTAGTTTAACAAAAAGTAATATTTACTTCTTATTAACCAGCGGGAGGTCTGTATGGGAGAATCTTGACCGAGGTCGCCAGTACAGACCGAACGCAATGAGGTCTGTATCAGTGACCGAG